GTTTTTACTTGAACCCTCAACATGACCTTCCATGTCCTCTCCTTCTGTCCCAGATCATCCAGGACCGTGTGGAGTCTCATGTGTCCAGAAACCACCTGCTGTGGAACTCTTTACCTGGTGGACTCTACGCCCTCCCACAGTACTCAGCTGACCCTGCTCAGTTCCCTTTTTACTACGCCGTACTGGGTGAGTACTGCAGACCAGGGCTCCCCAAACATTTCAGATTCCAGGTGAAGAACGGAGGGGAGTTGGTTGGCGTGTCAGGACAGACGAGTTTAGAGGTTTGTCTCGTAAATAGTGATATTTAAAAATCTGGGCAAAGGCAGGAAAACAGCAAGTTTGAATTATGGCCTAAAYGGCCTCTCATAGCAACTGAGCAGCTCAGTTTACGGTGGTCGATCTCGTCACGGGGAGGGTAACGAAGCGTAGGCAGCTGCAGCCGCGGGGCACACCAACGTCCACCAGACAAATGAGTGGGAAATGTATAAAAAATAAAACTAATAATAAAAATCAACACTCCTGTAAGCAAATCTGAACCTAATCAACTTAAACAGCGTCTCAGTGCGCAGAGCCACAGGGAGGTCGAGGTCAGATCAGTTCTGATTCGACCAGCAGAAACAAATGTCGACTTTTTTATGTAAATTCCTGGTTTTATTCTGTGTATCATTACATCTGCCCGGGAGCCACGACAAAATGTTTCTGCACAGTAAAGCTGCAGTAAAAGTGTTAATATAACCCGTGTTGGACTGGAGTTCAGAAAGCTGCAGGCTGGATGTGAACGTGGGCGTCTGCACGGTGCAGTGATCCTCAGCAGACCCGGGCTGTAACACAGATCGATGGTTCTGTGGACACGGAGGTTTGGGGCTGAGGAGAAGGGATGGACCGAAGGAGACAAGGACCAAACACAGTTCTGTTTTCTGCAGTGAATCAGTTTTTCTGCAGCTGCTGCTCCTGTTGGCAGGTCTCACTCTGCAGCTGAAACTTCAGGCCGTTTGGAAAAAGTTCATATTTTCTGCTCAGAGATTTTTGGCTTCAGGAGCTGAATGTATATCTCCATGTGATGGATAAAGTTCAAGCTTTAGTTTGGAATTTATTTAAAAAAAAGCTTTTTTAATAAAAATTAAAAAAAATATACTTGCATCACTTTCGACAGGATGTTCTGTAAAAATGTGAGAAATCACAACATTTACCTCACGTGTCAAACTCAAGGCTCATGGGCCAAACTCTGCCCTCGTAACCTTTTCATCGGCCCCAAAGCTTTATTTCTTCTCTTTTTGTTTAATGCAGTCTTTACTGGACAGTATTAAGCTTTAATTCGGTTTTCTCTTCTATTTCCTGAATAGTGAAAAAACATTTCTCTAAAAATAGTGACAGTGTAAAAGTTAAAATCTGTCGGCATGTATGTTCAAAATGTTTTTAAAATATAATTTAGAAAAATGAATTTGTATTTTCATAAGAATTATTTGTTAGAAAACATTTTTCTGTAAATATTTACAGWGTGGCCCTTAGCTTGGACCAAGTCTTGAATTTTGGGCCTCTTGTGTAAAAAAGTTTGACACCCCTGCTTTACTTTACTTTTATGTGATAACCTGATAGTTTAAGGTATTGCTTACACACACACACACACACACACA